GCCCAGTCAGGATAACCACACTGCTCCAGGGCCTGTCGTGTGTGTGATTTCTCTTTCTCCCTGGCTTCTGGGTTTGTAGGGACACTGTCTGCTCTGTGGTACAGAGTCCTGATCACTCCTAACTTGTGTTCCAGTGGGTATACATTGTGTATACATTCAATACAGTACATTCAATATTTAAAACAAAAACAAAAAGGAGATCAATCTATCTCTCACCCTTATAGGTTGGGGGATGGATACTAGATCTGAATAGCACACATGATTGTTAGTCAGGGCTTATAAACTAAAGTTGTGCGGTTTTGAATATATTCAGTTGATATCTTGAGTGAAGAGGTGTGTTTTTAGTTGTTTTTTAAAAGGAGCCAGTGTTTTCAACAGATCTTAGATTGGGCGCAAGGGTGTTCCACAGTCTGGGAGCCGTTGTGGAAAAGGCACAGTCACCAGGGGTCTTGAAGCGAGTACGGGGGACCAAGAGAAGATTCTGGACTTGTGAGCGCAAGTTGCGTCTGGGGTTATAAGGTGAGAGAAGACCGGAGATGTAGTTCAGCACTTGGCCGTGTAGAGCTCTAAAAGTGAGAATCAAGATTTTGAACTTGAGTCTGAATTGTACAGGTAGCCAGTGGAGGTCTGATAATATAGGGGTGATGTGAGAGAATTTGGATGTTCTAGTTAGACATCTAGCAGCAGAGTTTTGAACAAGTTGGAGTCTGTTTAATTGTTTCTGATTTAAACAGGTGAACAGGCTGTTACAGTAGTCAAGACGGGTTGAGATAAAGGCATGGATTACCATTTCCAGGTCAGAGGCAGGCAGGAGTGGGCGAAGTTTCGAGATATTACGGAGTTGAAAATAGCATGAGGAAAGTAGATTTTTGACGTATTTATCTAGTGATAGGTCTGAATCAAAATTGACTCCCAGCTTTTGTATGTTCTTTTTAACAGTCGGCCCCAAAGAGCCCAGTTGTTCTTTTATCTAAGGGATCTTATTTTCAGGTGCGAGGATCAGAGTTTCTGTTTTGTCATGGTTAAGGAGTAGCAGATTTTCAGAGAGCCATTTGTTTACTTCTGTGATACAGTCTAAGAAAGATATTAGCTTGTGGGGACTTGACTCGTTAAAAGAGCAGTATAACTGCAGATCATCAGCATAGAAGTGAAAGGAGGCATCATGAAAATTGTCAAGGATCTGGTTTAGTGGGCAGATGTAGAGAAGGTAAAGGAGGGGCCCCAGGATTGAACCCTGTGGAACACCACAAGTGAGTTGGGCTGGTCCAGAATAAGTTTGATTTTTTTTTTTTCAGAATAAGTTTGATTTTGAAGTACTGAGAAAGAGCGGTCGGAAAGGTATGAATTAAACCAGTTTAATACAGAACCCGATATCCTAATGTTTCTCAGGTTGCATAGTAGAATGGTATGATCAACAGTGTCAAAGGCAGAGGAAAGGTCTAATAGGAGCAGAACGATGTAGAAGCCACTATCAGCAGACATTAGTATGTCATTTGATACACGTAGAAGAGCAGTTTCAGTGGAGCGAAATTTGCGGAAGCCCGATTGAAAAAGGTCGTGAATATTGTTTTCATCGAGGTAAGCATTAAGTTGTAGTGATACAATTTTCTCCAAGACTTTAGCCAGGAAAGGTAATTTAGAGATGGGCCGGTAGTTGTTGAGATCTGAGGGGTTGAGGGACTGCTTTTTTAATTTGGGTTCAATGATTGCTTTTTTGAAGTTGCTTGGCACACACCCAGATGTAAGTGTTGGTTTTTCAGGCATATATTTAAATACTATACCATTATAAAGTAACTATGTCACCTTTAGTTGTTATTAAAATGCTGTTTTTATGTTTAAATAGAAAATAAACTTATCTTCTTATCAGTTCCTCTTCTAAACGCCTTGAAATTGGCCTCAGTCTCTTTAAGAACCACCTCCTGCTTCTGTCCCGTCCCATTTCAGTGCAGCGCGGGGGGGGGGCATGTGCTGATGCAGTTTACTTAGCTTCTGGAAATACATTTCCTCAAAGGTATTTTGAATCTGAAAAGAGCGTCTCTGAGTGAGCAGTAGTGTTGAGGGTAGCAGACAGTTTAAGTTTCACTTTCACTTTGCTCTGTTACTGCCGAGAGCCTGCAGGAGTCGTGGGTTGGGAGTGGGGAGGTGTGCTCCGTGATGAGGAAGTTCAGTTTAAAGACACTGGTACCAAAAGGCATTTCTGGTCCCCACCTGTTGTTTTGCTCCTCAGCATGGCTTCCTAAAATCGCTGCAGGATTTCTCAAACATGCATAAATGAGTCAAAGCAAGACTTTGGCCATGTTTTTTATGAGAGTATAACATTATAACATGATTTAAAGCTCAAAAAAGTTGATTTTACATGATATTGCCCCTTGTTACAAAGTTTAAAAATACAGCTATAAATAGTAAAGCAACTCGTTCAGTCAGAGACTTAAACATCCTTGTTCCAGGAAGGAGCGCTTCTGATAAAATCACTTTTCCTCCTGCTGCTTTTGCATGTTGCATTTCCTACCCCAAATTTACATGCTGCTCCTCTGCGGTCCGGACCGGTTCGGCCAAGAGCAAGAAGGTCGCAGAAACATGTGCATGAAATGTGAGATTGCGCAATATATCAAGTAGGTCATGACAAACTAATTCATTCTGTGGTAGACAGCATAAACACCGTTGAAACTGCATCAATGTTGTGTGTTTGAAACGTTTGATTTCAAAATAAAATCCCTGTGTGTCGCATGTATTCAGATGTTGCGTGCTGCGTGTTTCATGTTGGATACATTTTGACAGCATTTAAGTATAAATTTGTCTTATTTATTTATTATTATAGCAAGGGATTCGACAAAACTGGTCTGTCTTTGGTTAATTACGAATTACGTGAAAATACGGAGGTTGTGCTCATTTCCTTTCCTGTTGGTGTGACGTGATCTTTGTAGATTGACTCCGGAGCAGTTCCGGCATTGGGCAAAATCAATGGACGTGTGCAGTCTCGCGTGTTTATATCGGCTTGTTCACGAGGTGTCGTAAAGCAGACCAGGATGTCGTAAAGATGCCCCGACGCCCCTCTGGCTAAATGCCTGCCCCACAGTGTACCTCGAGAAACATGGTTAAACGCCTTCTCCAAATACACAAAACACATGTAGACTGGATGGGCAAACACCCATGACCCCTTGAGGATCCTAGTGAGGGTAAAGAGAGAGCAGAACCCACATTGTTCCTCCGGAATCTGAGGTCCCACCATCAATCGGACAAATCCAGTAGAAACAAGTTTCTAAAACTGTTGAAGTCATCTGTGCTTTAGCTTACCATGCATAAAGTTGAACTTGTGAAGTTTGATCAAACCAGCTCTCTGAGCTTCTGCAACTTTTAAATGACCTTTAGTAAGTAATGCAGGTGGAAAGGCACCCAGGCTTCTTCAGTCTCTGATAAAGCAGGTGATTGTTTTTTTCTGATGGTTTGAGGCAGTGTAGTCTTTGCCAGCAGTGAGACTTCAGATTTGTTTCTCTGCAGGATGATGTGAGTCCTGATATATAACGAGTCACATCCTGCTCCTTCTCAGAAATTGGTCACATTAAACTCAGCAACATGGCTTGCTGGTCTCTTGGTTACAAATACTCAGGAGTCAGTGAGACTGCCCTGTTTTCTTGCAGTTTGAGTCTCCGGCTTCCACAGCCCAGCGAGATACTCGT